ACAGTCAATGAAATTACAACAAGAGCAACAGGAAGTTCAACTGCATGCCCACCACTAGGCAAAGTGAAATAGACACCACTTAATGTTCTCTAGTGCCATGCAAGGGTGGATTTGTTGTCACTCCTTTGCAGATGAAAAATGGACTGTTCGCTCAGTGTCTGACCAGGGACAATGTACAAAGCAGGAAGGGGACAGAGAAGTGTGGATCTGCATGGCAGCGGCTCAGTTATGACCCATGATTCACCAGGCAGACCTGCAAATCCCAGAAGTTACATCTTGCACAGAGAATCCCAAGCAACCTCTAATGCAGCGAAACAACCATTTTCTGGTTTTTGTTGTTGAGGATGAAGATGACATTACACCCAGGATAAAAATCAGATTCCATACTTTGGATGGGGTGGGGGGTAGCAGGGTTTCTTGTAACCTCAGAAAATGGCATTCAATTTAATTGCACTCTTTCAGCAGCAATAAAGGTTAGTATGTGGCTTCTGCTTTTGTTATGGACCAACGGCAGCTGCTTACACTTTGAGGTCAAGTTTCCTTGTAGTGTCTGAGTCACCTTAAGCATTTGCATCATATGGCTATTTCTCTTAAGAAAGTGATCCTTAAACAAAGGAAGCCCCTAAACACATGAGGAATTACCACAACTGATGTCTTGTTCTTCCTTCTTTGGAAGAGACAAGAAAGGGCTTCACTATTAGACTTACTTCTGTATGTGTTATGTCTTGCAACTTTTTAAGATAGTAAAGGACTACACAATGAACATTTAATATTTACTTGGCACCAATAGTAATCCGATTTGATCACAAATCATTCTCTCCCCTGCAGAGGTCTCTGCAAATTCACAACAGCTTCAGTTTAGCAGCAGCAGGGACACTTCCTCTAAACATGGAGCTTCCTTTCAGCTCATGACTAAATAGTGGCTACTACGTCTATTGTACAAAACCGAATTCCTGTGTATACACCTTCTGGCACCTTTGGACATTTGATTATAGGAACAACTTCTCACTTGACTCCCAAGTTCATCCATGCCTATGCACATTGTACCAACTACGGGCAATTAGAAATCATGAATAAGCCTCTTCCTTAGTGATGAGATTCCACAAAAGAGCACAACAGAGGAAAGGACTGAAGAAACTGACCTTCACTAAACATCACCAATGGATGTTGTCAGGTACCTATAGCAGATAACTTAGCTAGATGCGGGGAAGAAGTGCTGTCAATTCAGAGCTGACTTATGGCAATCCCATGGGGTTTCCAAGGCAAGAGACGTTCAGAGGTGGTTTGACATTGCCTGTATCCATGTCACAACCCTGGTATTCCTTGGAGGTCTCTCATCCAAATGCTTGTCAGGGTCAACCCTGCTTAGCTTCCAAAATCTGATGAGATCACGCTAGCCTGGGCTATCCAGGTCAAGCTAGTAGGGTACTTAAATCTAAATGGCCAGGGTCCGGCATACCTGAGGGACCACCTTTCCCCACATAGACCCCTAAGACCACTTCGGTCTGGGACACAACATCGCCTGGTGATTCCAGGCCCCAGGGAGGCAAGGCTTGCTGTGACGAAGGCCAGATCCTTCTCAGTGGCGGCTCCTACCTGGTGGAATGAGCTCCCGGAAGAGATCAGGGCCCTGCGGGACCTAGTACAGTTCCACAGGGCCTGCAAGATGGAGCTCTTCCGCCAGGCTTTTATGTACCACTACCACCACTACCAACTGTGTTGGCAACAAATGGAGCAAGGAGACGGCCTTATGAAAGATCTGGCCACAATACAGCGCTAGGCTGGTACCGCTGGACTGGACAGTTTAACATCTACTGGACACTACCTACCTCCATGAAAAACCACCTACCTCTAATGAATGACCATCTTGTTTAAATTTGAGCACTTTATTTGTAATAGTTGTTGGTTTTACTGTTTTTACCTTGTTTTTATGTATGGGCATATTTTGCCCTCTTGTAAGCTGCCCTGAGCCCATTCATGGGGAGGGCGAGGTATAAATACAAAAAAAAATAAAAATAAATAAATAAAAATAAATAAATCCAAATGGTGCCCCCATTGTAGTAAAAGCGATTTGCTTCAATTAAATGGTAAACCTAATTCTATGAACAGGTACCACACCTCATCCTACTAATGGTAGGGTTAAGTCTGATGTACCTACAAACATGAGGACCTCAGAATGTATTAATAAATTCATTAAAATACTTAGCTCCCTCCAAAATGCTTCACATATAATCTTGCATATATTTCCAAAGGATAGGTCAGAATCTAATGTTAAGTAATCAAAGAGCAGGAATTTTAAAACTAAGCTGTGAAAGGAACTGTCTGTATAAAATGTCTGTATAAAATGTGCACGGTGTGTTAAATTGTGGCTGGCACTTATTTAAAATTAAGTGCATCTATTCCAAAATATGTGAAAACAAGCATGAAACACTTCTCAGAGTTTAACTACATTTAACTTTACTGTATGTGTCTATGCTTTTTACTGACTTCTACACAGCTGTTTATTCAGGCCTGTCATTAAGAGATTCCCAGTTAGCAACTGATGTTCTAATAAAATGGAACACTAGAAATAGCCAGCAACACACCTGCAATCATGCATGTTTCATTTCATTACATGTAAGATTTTAAAAATGCATATTTTCTTCTAGCAGATGAAAAAGAAAAGACCATGAGAACACTTTACCTTCTCGCCTTAAAAGTCTTTATGATATCCCACTGTAGCTAAACTTTCAGCTACAGATACACAGCAATGACTAGTTAGAGGTTTATCACAGAGGTGGTAACACAAAACTAGTTGGAATGTGTATGCCTCCTCCAGGTGAGAACAATAATTGGTCAGATTTGCTTATAAAACACAGAGCATTTGGGGCCCACTTTGCCATTCTTCAAACCAAACTGAGCCAAGATCACCACAGAAATAGGCATTGGGTTCATCTGTACATTATACTTCCATAGAAGTCACAAGATCTGCATATAATTTCCAGAGACTCTAGGTAGATGCCAAACTTCATTTCTGCTTTGTCCGTGCTTATTCCACAGTATTATTGGTATTGTCAAATTGAGGAAGACATTTAAGTTAAAAGCTAGCAACCATGAAATTAAAGAAAACCCTTTATGTTTTAAAGCAAAGTTCGTAATTCTCAGGAGCTGTAAATTGCCCATATTTAATCAGCATGATGTTACCTAGTCTGTTCTGAAGGAATCTTACCTGACAGAGTACAGCAGTTAGTGCCAATGTTCAGAGCAAAGTAATACTATGGTCATGTTCAAAATTAAACAATGCTGATCCATGCCTCCATACAGTAGCCCTAAGGCATTATGTTTTGTTTGACATATAATCAAACCAAAGAAGTAGTTATGCAATCTGAAAATGTTCAAGTGGTGAAGAGCAAACAGACCTGTTGTGGGAATAGCAAACTCCTTGTCGAAGTGAATTCAGGGGCAACACCTATCTCATGCAATTGAAGCAAACAACTACAGATCAAGTGAATTCTGTCACAACTACCTGCTTGTATTGAATTGACACTGTGTAATTAAGACTTGCTATGGCTGACCTAGAGCCAGGACCTTTATATTCTATTTTTCAACTGCAATTTTACAAGCCACGTGAACCTTTTTGTACAGCAAAGGACTTCCTCACAGATTCTCTCAGAAACAAGACCCACTGAATCCCATAAGATTTGCCTACAAATAACTGTGTACAAAAGGGTAGTCCATTCCACTGAAATCAGTAGAACTTGCAGCCAAGAAACACTGCAGTGAATCAAGCTACACGTCAAATTCCAGAACCATTTTTACAAGTTACATATGGAAAAGCTTTGGGTGGTTTTCTGACCTCAGTACTCAATTGTCATCAAGTTAACCAATTCATTTCCCATCTCAGCCCCTTCCCCAAACACAAATATAAATGACACAATGTCTGTAACACGATTAGGATTTTCATCACATAAGAGAAGAAATCACAAACCCTGACTGGTGGGATTTTAATGATGGCATATATTTAGTTATTTTTTTTAAATTATAAGGACAGAGTAAATGAGTGGCAGAAAGACCTTTTGGAGATCTTTGGCTTACATACTTTTATTGGGTACCCTTGCTTGGCCAAATTGGGTTTTGTGCTGCAAGATCCCGTCAGACTTCTCTGGTAACCCTACTCTCTCCTGGCAGCCATGGAGTCCCCTTTTCTGTCCCTCCTTAACATTTAAGGTGGCACTGACTAGATAGAAACCCTCCCTCTCCCCTTTCAGGACAGCCAGAAGAACGAGCTTCTTTTGAATGTGAATCAATTCAATCCACCGTCCCACAGCTTTAGCCAGCACAAAGAAAGAAACGACGCTGCCCTCTGGGAAAGTGGCAAGGGACTGTCCTGCTCGTTGCCCCCGCCACTCCCCCCACCCAGCGAAGAAAAGTTCGAAAGAAGCCGAAGAGGGGGAAGTGGTTCGTTTTGGGGTCGTTTCTCTTTTGCAACTCAGGAAAGTGATGCAAACCCGTTTTTGCACAGCCGTGCACGCACATGACGGCCCTACAGGGAAGGAGGCACGAGTCTGAACCGGTGGCGGGGGGGGGGGGGGCAGAAAGGGAGGTCCCCAGAAAGAAACAAACAACGTTGCACTAAGTTTTGGCGCATGGCGAAGACACACATCCGTGTGATTTCCGCCTCGAAGGAAGACCGACTGTGTAGCCAAGGCAGGCTATGCTAAAAGAGCTCTCCCGCCTCCTCTAGGGGAAAGGGGGAGACCGGAGTGAAAGTACCTGAGAAAGACAAATCCAGAGTGTCTCTCTCAAGTTAGCGAAGGGAGTAAGTGGAGAGTTCAGCCTCTGAACTAGTGGCTGCAAGAGAATCGGAGTAGCTCAGACAAGCTGCAAAAGCACCAAAACGCTCCCCCCCCCCAGAGAAGAGACAGAGAGAGATACCCCGATCTGCTGCACAGCAGGGTAGCCTACGGTACCAGCCAACTAGCCAGCCAGCCAGTCCTACCGCCCTTTCCCAGCGCGCCTACCTGAAGACGCACTCCTCCTTGAGCTCCCGGCTGGGGGAAACCAAGCCGTTCTTCTTGTTGAAAAGCTTCTGCAACAAGGTGGGTGTGGGTGGCATTTTGGGCGGGCGAGCGCAGCTCTGCTGCCCCACCGGAGCCCCGATCTCGGCGCGCAGCTGGGGCAGCCAGCTAGTTCCGCGAACCCGACTCCATTCGGTGTGACAGTCATATGACAAAAATTAATCACTTGGAGCAGCAGCGGCAGAAGGGGAGGGAGGGGGCAGGGGCGGGGTTTCGCTCGGGTTTCCCGGCCGCGGATTGGCGGAGAAGACAAGGCCACGTGGGGGACACGGCGATCCCTGCTTGGCTTGGCTGAGCCGCGGCGTTGGGGATGTTTTGGTGCGCGAAATAAGAGGGGGAAGGGGAGGCGTGGAGACTGTCGTGCTGCCCTCGCCTCACACTCCCAGGTTCACCCGTTACAAGAAAATAGAAGGCTGGGCGCAAGCGAAGAAAGGACACCCCCCCAAATCCGGATCCGAGCTGGGTTTCTTTTTCTAACTGGACCCCCCCCCCCCCGGCTCCTCCCAACTGGGAAATGTGATTCAGGAGCTGCCACCTCCCATCCCCCCCCCCCCAACTAACGCATCATCGAGGTAGGATGCAGATAAAACAAAAAATAAATCTGGGCCTAAATGTCCTTCTTTGCCACAATCGCAGTGAAACTAATCTTGGATCTCTTCTCGGCACTCTTGCCCTCTGGGGGTTTTGTTTGGTTTTGCTCCCTGCCCAGATTCAGATCTCTGAGTAATGAGGTACACTTGAGTGTCCCTGAGTTTACACTTGACTTGGAACGAAAAGAAAATGCATTTCCATTTTGTGTGAGGGATCTAGAGTAGCTGAGGAGGATTGTGAAAAGAGCGGCTGCCACCACCTGTGCCAAGCTGATAAAATAGGAAGATAAGATCTATATTTATAACAGCAGCTCCTATGATTGTCTTCTTCTCATGTGACCAAGAAACAAAAATCAAGTATGTGACAAGGAAGACCGTCGCCTACTTAATCTTCATTTGCCGGTATCACTTGCAAATTTAGCCCCACGTCAACAGTCCCTCTAAATCTACTTTTGTAGTTTCTCTGCTGTATGAAAGCCTGCCATTCACTTCTTTGCTAAGGGCAAAGTCTTGTGCTGTTCGACTTATTCCATACTAGGGGTGGGACCCCTTCAAACCACGGTTAAAGAGTTGCGTTTTGAATGCAGAAGGCATTATCATCTTATTGAGCTAATGGTCTGATGCACTGTTAAGGTAGCTTCAGATCTATATAAATACTGCAGGGAAGAAAGAAAACTTGTTACAGCTGCTTTTGGCAGTATTCCCATGGCAACCATAAGGTTCCTATTTTGCACATCAGTGTCCAAATATTATTTATATATCAACTAGCACAGAAGCATAATTTTAGCTCATTTCAGGTATTTTCTTTTGCCCAACAAGCATGATGTCATTATATTAAAAATTCTACAATTAAGGAAGGGGTGGAATTTATAATTTAGAGGCATTCCCTTAACAGAATTAGAGAACTGGTAGTTTGAAGACTTACCTCAAGATCAGATAGCCTTAGTTGTAGAACAAAGCTTAGAGCAGGGGTGTCAAACATACAGCCCAGGGGCAAGAACTGGCCCTTACCCCAGCCCAAGCAACTGGTGCAAAGGAGGGAAGGCAGGAGGCTGCTGGGGGGAAGGTATGGGCAAGCAGGCATATGCAGTAAGGTGTGTGTGTGATCGAAACTGGCAAGAAATAGAAAGGAAATTAGCGCTAGAGGGTGGGGCTGAGGCAAAATAGTATGGGGAAAGGTGGAGAAAGAGGAGGCATGTTTTTCCCCCCCTCCCACCGCAGCTCAGCAAGGATTGGCGAAGCCACCACATGGGGGAGTGGAGCTGAGTGCCCAGCGCTGCCACCGCTGCACCAACTGGCTTTGTATTTCTTGAAAAGGTTAACATGAAGGGGTTTGGCAAAAGTGGGAGTGTAGAGCAGTGGTTTGTTAATGAAATGACAGGACCAGCGGAGAAGAGAGAAGCAGGAGGACCAGCACATGGTCTGGGAGGCAACTGGGCTGTCTTATGCATGCTGCTCTGAGGGGAAAGACCTTGGAACAGAGCAGAGGAGGGAAGGGGGGAAAGGGGTGCCAATGTTGCTGCCACATGTCTGAACAGTCGCAGAGCTGGGAGGCAGAATGAATGTTGGGGCAGGTGGGGGCGGTGACCTCCCTTCTCCCCCACCTGTTCTTAGCTCTTGAGGGAAAAGGGGTCATGGGAGGACAAAAAGCACCCCCTGGAGGTTTCGCATACAGCCTCTCCATCAGACCTCCTCAGCCCCACCGCTTCTATGGGAAATGCAAGAGGGATGAAAACTGGGAGTGGGGGATCTGGGAAAGCCAGGTTCAGGTCCTTTCCTCTTCCTGAGCCAGGACCCTGTAATCCTGGCCCACCTCACAGGGTTGTTGTTGTTGTTGGGGATGGGGTGGTGGAGGGGGGTGTCTGGTGTGCCTCCTTGAGATCCTCAGAGGTAGGACAGAGTGCAATAGACAAATTGTAGCCATGCTTGGCTGCTGAGGCGGGGCATATAGGGATGCTGGAAAACTACCTTATTGCAAGGATGATGACTCATCTCTTAAAAGTGCTATATATACAAAAAGTAACAAATTTGTATGGGAATGTAAAATACCTCCTTCCCTTCTATGGTATCCCTTGGAAAAAACATAGTCTCACATATGATTGAATACATTTATAAATAAATAATATTGTTAATTGAGTTTTCCTGTGTCCTTTATAAAATTTATATCTCCAGTAAAAAGGTAAAGGTTCCCTTGCTCGAAAGCCAGTCGAATCCTACTCTAGGGTTGTGGTGCTCATCTCCGTTTCAAAGCCGAAGAGCCAGCGCTGTGCCAAGACGTTTCCATGGTCATGTGGCCGGCATGACTAAACACCAAGGCGCACCTATTTATCTACTTGCAATTTCTTGCTTTCGAACTGCTTGGTTGGCAGGAGCTGGAACTAGAAATGGGAGCTCACTCCATCATGCGGCACCTGGGTCCCGAACTGCTGAACTACTGACCTTCCACAGCCTGCAGTTCAGCGTCTTAACCACTTGAGCCACCGTAGCGCCAGTATATATCCAGTATCTGGCATTAAATTTTATGGCACACATGGCCCAGCCCAATAAAGTAACATTTATGTCAGATCCGGCCCTTGTAACAAATGAGTTTGACACCTGTGGTTTACAAAGTGCTGTGCCATATTTTAGTTTCCATTTATATTCACAGTTTTAAGTTATGTCTCCTTATGCTAGTCTCCATGTGGAGCTAGAAATACTGAATGGTGTTAGAAGAGGATAATAGATTCAAGTGAAAGTTTGTGGATACAGTTTTTACTTCCAGAGGCAAATAAAAAACTGCAGCATATTAAAGGAGAAAGTAATAAAGATCTGGCACTGTAGAGTCCAATCCAAGCTGCGACTGGTCAATGGCTAGAAACTAGAGACTTGCAGTCTGAAAATCAGAGACTCTTTGACTTGTACATATGAACTTACAATGATAGATGAAGCAATCTTTAAGGACAGCAGTGGCCAATTCAGTGATCCCTCTAATTCCCCCCCTCCCCACTGAGCAGAGCAGTCCACATCCTGAGCAGAATATACTGCTGTAATCTTAAAATGGGCCATGGGCAGTGCAAGACCCTGTGCGGCTCCAGATTGCTGCTGAGCGAGGCTTCCTCTGTTAATGAACTCACGTGCACAGTTTAGAGGGAACACTGGCAAGACCATCAAAAATATGTTGGAGAAGGCTTTTAGTTGTGGAGATGATTTGTGTGAGTCACTGCTGATTTGCAGGAGAGACCGATTTAGAGAGTAGTTGACCTGGAACTCGGGTTACCATACTTCGAAAGCAAAAAAGAAGATATATATCCTGACTGACTACTTCAAACATGTGATCACTGTGAGAAATCTCATTTTAAATACCCCTACTATTTACGCTGTGATAATTGCTACTAGCTAGGAATATTCCTAACCTAACCCAAAAAACTGACATTTTCATCAATTTTATAAAAAGAGCCCAAAAGAGGATGGACACACAGTAGGCTTACCAAGTGGCGGCGGGGGATCCGCATGTCTTCACAGGATTCCTGCCGCGGGGACGGCGATACGTGGTGCACCCGCTGTCGCCAGGATGTGACGCAACGTGTCACTCTGGCAACGGGGCTGTTTGGAGTCCCGTTGCCAGAGCGACGCGTAGCGTCACATCCTGGTGATGGCGGGTGCACCACGTATCGCCGTCCCCGCGGCAGGGATCCTGTGAAGACATGCGGATCCCCCGCCGCCACTTGGTAAGCCTAACACACAGAAAAAGAGGACATGTCTTCTAAAAAGATGACATCTGGTAACCCTTGCTGTTGTTCAGTCACATAGTCGAGTCCGACTCTTTGCGACCCCATGGACCACATCACGCCATTCCCTACCTGTAACAAAATGATGTTCTTCTGCATTCAATTAAAGAATCTGGACTAATTAGTTCTTTAAGGATTGTTCTATTACCCCTCATATCTCTAGCATCTATCAGATTAAAGTTGTTTGCAACTGTTATGTACTGCCTCTTTAAGAGGCTATCCCAGTAGGCCTCAGAGCAAGCAGGAGCATAGGAGGGACTCGGTGCTTCTCTCCTCAGTCTCCCTGCTAGCAGCCTGCTGGAGTGCAGGGCTTAGGAACAATCTGCAGAACCAGGCCAGAACAACCGTGGCGTAGAGCTCTAGAAACGGCTTAGTTAAGAAGTACAAAGCTTGAGTGCAGTGGCACTTTTAAAACCAATGAGGATTAATTTTGGATTTAAGCTCTTGTGTGCATGCACACTTCATCAGATACACTGAAACAGTTTTCCTCAAGCCTTACATATAGATGGAGTGGAAGGTTAGTTGCCAGGAAGGGCTGGTAAGATTCAAGATGCATAAGTAACTGGGTGATAAGTATAGATGAGATTGGAATAAAGCAGTTGTTAATGGCAGCAAATTAGCATACAAAAACAAGAGTTAACAGATGTGAGGACTAAGTTTGGGTCTAGTCACAACTCCAAGACCAACAAAGTTCAATTCTGGGTATAAGTGAGAACTGAGAGACTTAGCATATGTATAGATGCATACTTGCTCAGATACATTGA